TAAACTGTAGTTTTCCTATTTCTCTCCATTAATTTCCTATTTGGGTTTCTTCCCGGGAAATTTTAGTAACAGAAACGTCAACATACGTTAAGGAATTTTTGCGCGGAGGTAAAGGATTAGTCCCAGCTGAGTCTCGTGTGTACGTCTGCTTGTTGACTGGGCCTCGATTTCCTAATTCGATTTTGACTTGAAGAATTAAATGGGTCCTAATTCTAAACCCTTCATGAACAAATAATTTGATTAAAGGATTTGAAATAATTAAATTTAGGTTATATTTTAAGTTTAATTAAGTTTGTTAAGGAACTTAATTATGTTTAATTGGACTAAACCCTGAAAGTTTGATTAATGGTTAATCGAATTATTTTAGACTTAAATATATAATAGTTTAAATCGGTGTATACAGATTTAAATATATATTAAAGATAATATTTAATTTAAGACTTAAAATATTTATTATATACAATTAGATTATGAGGTATAATTTAAAATCCATAGAAAATGAATATTTTGGTAAATCACTAATGTCTTAGTCGATGATAAGGAGATAAAATCTCTTTCGAAACAGTTGATATTTATAGATTAAGATTTATGATATTTTTTCTTAAATAAATTTTTATTCATTCTAATTACACAAAGTTATCATAAACTTAATTAAATTAAATTTTTTTGATAAATTAATTAATTAATTATGAAATAGAAGATAAAATTAGCATGAATTTTTACATATTAATGAACCAAAGATGAAATAAAATAAGGGAAAATAGGGAGAGGGGGGAAAAATTCCCCCTTTAACCTATCTTAGTATGCCATTGTGGGGAGATTATTAATCCTTTTAACCTATCTTAGCATGCGATTATGGAAAGATTATGACTCGCCAAAACAATTAGCCCTTAAGCTAATTGCATGAAGCAATTTCTCACTTCTCCCTCATTTTAGTTTTGTTTAGGTTACTAAGATAAAAATCTAATTCACGCTTAATTCAAATATTAAAGTTTTGTATGGTCATGAAGATACTAAAATATGTAAGAAATAAAATTAATGTCTCCAATGAATGATCTCATTCATACGTAACTTCAGTGAGAGTAAATTATTTTTGATTTTTTTTTTTATAATACTTTATATATTTTCTTAATATGCAACACATGTATAATCAAAAGAATACCATTTCTTAACAAATATATACTAAATACAACCTCCTAAGAAAGCACACATGATGCATAATACACAACTTGAACTCATACCCTTGTAAAAGTACCTATCATTTACATAAAAAAAATTATTGTTTAAGGTATATAATTATGTAAGTTATTAAATATTTAGTGTCATAATAATATCAAATCTTTAAAAGATTAAAATACAAACATTTATTTTAAAAGAATAATGAAAAGATTTAAATATTAAAAAAGTTACCTAAAAATTCCCTTTAATAATATAAAATACTACATTATAAATGACAAACATATAGTGTTTTAATCATATGCTTCCATTATAATATGAAGATAGTGTAGGTTAAAAGATTACGATAAATGCACTCAAGCCTTCTACATGAATAGAAAAAGATGTCATTAAACCGCTAATTTACCCTAACCTATCCTACTTGGTGCATATGAAAACTCAGTAATTTATTAGTCACATAATGGATAAAGATAAAAAAGTCATAAACTTATTGATTATGTACTAAGCTCATCTTATCTCACTATACTATTTTTATATATGATTAGACATTTTCAACATATATAATTATTATATTTGTAATTTTATTATTATTTTTATGAGTTATAGTAGATGATTTATCTCTAATTAGTTTGAATATATTATTTATTATTGTATTTATAATATTATTTTATAAAGGCCCAGAACTTAAATAGAGTGAATTTATAAATTAAATGCATAAGTGAATAATAATGTTGGAATTTACATTCATTACATAGTAAACTAGAATGCTCAATAGGAGTACGAGAATATCTATTCTAAAAGATAAATGATAATTAAATAAAAAGCGAATAAAAAAGCATCATATGATAACCTTCACTAGCACTTGAAGGAAGTATGAGTGATGAACTACTCACAACCTTCTTGCTGATTGAGATCTAGATTTTAGTTTTCTTGATCTAAAATAGTTCATGAAAAAGTAAACTACACTAGTCCAGTAATAATATCACACTAATCACATATACGAAAAACAAAATGTTATTAAAAATAAGAAAATAACTAATGGAGCCATTGTTTTAAATAAATACATTTAACTTCAAAACTTTTTATTTGATACATACCATTACATTTTCTCCAAAATTAACCTATGAAGACAAATAACTAAATGACATTTTAATTTCATTCATAGGATCACAATTCTTTCCTTTTTTACCTGTTTATTGATACCCCTAGAGGTCCATAGGGATGTCCTCCTATGTGTGAACTAAATATCCAATTTTATCAATTAACTAGTTGTCTCCATACCCCCCTCCGGTAATGGGCGCTAAACATTCCATCATTGCAATATCCTGTCCGGTATGAGGATGAATCATATCTCCCAAACCCTTCTAGTATGAGATTTTTCAGTCATGTCTGACTAAGATAACGTTTAAGGTAGAGTTCCTTATGTACCGAGTCTGTTTGTCATTTCTTAGGATATCCAGTAAGTCTTTCACGTAAAGATCTCCATCAACAAAACAAACACCAAGCTCATACCAACATCTCATGTCATATTCACTGATAAATTTAAACGGCATTTAAGCAAGCGATTTAATTTATCATAACCAATAACCAAATAACCATATAAATAAATAAATCATGCAGGAAGGGACCAAATGAACCAGATAATCGAAAAAACTATAAAAACTATCAGGATAAACATGCACAGTATAATAGTAAATAATTTAATAATACAGAAAAATAAATAGGGAATACAGACGAGCTTAGGGCGAACATACACTGACCAGTTTTTTGGCTCTACTAGTGACTTGTAATATTTTTAAGATTTTTTTAATT